AACCTTACAGTTCCTCCCTGTCTGACCAGCCTGCCCACGTTCTCCACGCAGTTTGTACTGCTTAACAGTGTTCTGTCACCTCCCCCAGGAGCCCTTCTCGTCCCTTGAGCCCTGAGTTAGGTCCCCACCCAGTGTGGCCCCATGCCAAATTGTGTATCCGTATCATGTTAAGTGAGCCATTCGACACAGAGACTGACTTGTATTCTGGTATCTTCAGCATCTGACTTCAGCTGTCTGAATGAATGAGTGAGTGAATTCGTGAATGAGTGAATGAATGAATGAATTGATTCACACATTGTGTGTATGTGAGATAATTTTATGCACCAGTCAGGCCGGACGCCAGTGGCTCATGCCTGTAATCTTAGCTATTTGGGAGGCTGAGACAGGGAGTATCATGGTTCAAGACCAGCCCTGCCAAATAGTTCGGGAAACTCCATCTACAAAATAGCCAAAGCAAAATGGACTAGAAGTGAGGCTCAAGCAGTAGAGCACAAAACCCTGAGTTCAAACCCCAGTCGCTCCAAAAAAAAAAAAAAAGCACCAGTCAGTTGAAACAGCGTGTCATTTCTACAAACAGTACACACTCTGTGTGCATACACTTTTGTGTACCGCTCCTGGGAGGATTGCCTTTTCTTGTCAGGATTTGTATGTAAAGGAACTGTGAATTGTGTGTTCTAGTTGGTAAAAATAGCTTTTTGTGCACATATCATCGCTGAATTTAAAATCCTGACTCTCAGGTTTTGCTGGAAAGTGAGAGTAGTAACTGATTTTAGGCATTAACACCAAAAAGTTCTGCCCTTTTCAACCCATTAACAGCCCAGACTTCTTTTTTCAGTGAATTTTGTTCATCTGAGAACTAGCAAGTTGCTCTCCACCCTCCAAAAGATCTTACAAAATTTATACATATTAAAATTTCCCCCTTCAAAAATGTTTTTAAAAATTAACTCCTTACAGAAGATTAATCTCTTTTCTCCTTTTCTGTATCAAAGGAAAAGGCCTTCTGGGGACAAACTGTGTGACAATTTTATAGACTATCCTGGCTCCCAAAGCCTCAAGGAAAAGAAATATTTTCTAGGTACAGAATGGTACCTCTTTCCTGCACCTTTACATCTTTTAAAAGACTACGTATGTCAGATCACACACACACACACACACACACACACACACCCCTCAGCAAAAGACAGTTCATATCCCATCCCCACCCGCCCCCTTATTCAAAGGACGTGCCTCTGAAACAGTGTGTGACCAGGGAAGGTTCCGGTCTGCAGCACTGCGGTGACCAGGGGCAGAGATGAGAATTTTCATCTTCGGAGAGTGCCCGGATGCTGTGTAGGGTAGGGAAGTCAGCGCTGTAATGTATTCGCTAGGACCTAAGGGTTTGCTTCCCAATAAGGATGGGAAGAAATCCGAGCACCCCACTGTGAGCTTATCACAACGCTGCTTCATAGAGAAGGTTGGTAATTAGTCCCCGAGTGAATAAAGTAGAACAGACGATACGAGACTGGTACTAAAAGGGGACGCACAAAATGGTCTTGCCCATCATCAAAATTTAAAGGCTATAGAGAACGGGCCAGGGCTGCCTAGTGAGTTTACGTGCAATTTCTAACACAGAATTTGTAATCATAGCATTCATTAATGAGTGTTTTCAAATTGTGTGAAAATGAAACTTATACAAATTTCAAAGTTGTACCCAGAGTGCCAAGGGAAGGGGAATCGTGAGATCCGGGTATAAAATGCCACAGAACTGGGGGGTTTTGATCTCATGCCAACCTCGGTTCTTCCAGCTGGGAGTCTGCTGCTCAGATCCAGATGTGGGGCAGTGCTGTCCAATGTGGGAACCAAATGCATGTAGACCATGTAATCACGTGTCCAGATTCTGTGTCCTCTTATAACTTAATATCAGCTCATCGGCGTCAAGATCAGGTCTGGTGTCACAGACTCCTGCTGTAGATGGTGAATATTTCCAAGCGTGCCACCAGCCACTCATAGCAAAGGGCGAGGCTTGATTTGGAGGAAGGGCATCCAAGAGAGCATGGCTCAGATTTTAGATTTCTATCTAAGTTGATTTCGTCTTTAAATTTGTATGAAAGACATGAATTTGTATAAAGATGAACTCCGTGGTTATCGTGGCTGCATACTCAAGTTTCTGGACGATTCCTGAAAGTGAAATAAACATGAAATCCTAAAGAGAAAATTCCAGGTCCTCTGGAGGTGCTGTCATCTGCATTTCGGCACTTACCTTCTCCATTTTACGTCCTTGAGAAGTCATCTCTGTGAACTGTTTAGACTCTAGTGGCAACCACGGTTTGCCTGCCAGGCCCAAAGAGACACAGGATCCCAGCCAGGGACAAAGTCCCATCCCAAAGAGAATGCCCTTCACTAAGCAAAACTGACCCAGCACCCTGGTGTACTTGCAGTTAAGTAGATGGGGCCAGGTCAGAGGCAGGCAGAGCAATGGTGCATTAGCTAACTTGCCAGCAAGGGACCTTAAATCAGCCAGAATTCCTTCTTCTGTTTTTTGAAGCAGGGTCTCACTATGTAGCCCATGGTGGCCTTGAACTCCCAATTCTCTTACCTCAAGCCTCTGAGTGCTGGGATTACAGACATGCACTGCTACAACCTACTGCTTTCTTTGCTTTGTAAACCTTTAATGTGAACATCTTTGCCACCTGTATAGTATGAAATGAAATAAACATTAAACAAGAGAGTATCTTTGGGGGCAATTAGTGTAAGTTTTATTATATTTAATGTTAAATTCATTGGAGCAGTTTAATGGGATAATTAATTGTGTTGTGTGAATTTAACTCTGATCATCTTTAGAGAAAAATTGGGCATTTGGTCAAAGTCCAGGAAACTTGTGTGTTTTCCTGCCAGAAGGAAAGTTGCATGTTTTCAAACTTTGAGGGAGAAAGGTGCCAGTTTGAAGCTTGTTTCGAATGCTAATCTGAAGACTGTAAATGATCATTCTGTACTAATGCTATGCAAACAAGTGAACTCATCATCTATCCTTTGTTTTATGCCTCTTGGAATTTCTTTCCCCTTAATGGAGTAACCTAATTTATCACAAGATGCTAAACCTAGTCCTCCAAAAAATGCATTTATCAAAAAAAAGAAAGTTTTAGAAGCAACTTTCTAAAAAATACTACTCTCCATTTATCTTACATTTTATACTGCTCCAATTCCTACAGCCTCCCCATTCGTCTCTCTTGACTATTGTTAGCTTTTCTTGCTTTGGGGAGGCATTCACTTAGCACAAAATAATACTCCAGTTCAAAACTTTTATGGTTACGTTTCACTCACTGCAACACAACACTCACGTGGTTTCCTGTGCTCACTGAGATAAAACATATTGAAGGTATTTCTGATGGTTTACATTTTATAATTTTGAGCCGAGTATAACTCTAGATCCATAACTATGTTTGTAAATATTTTTGAGTAGCATAAACTCATGCTTACGGTATTTTCTACAAGGTAGATGGAAAAATGCTTTATTAACTCTGAAGTACCACGTGTATAAGACGCATGTCTAGTGGACACCATGCAGCTTCCAACTCAAACACCTCCAGAAGATGCAGAGAGCCCATATGTAGCATTTGTTCATCTGGACCACTCATTAATAAATAATCAAATATTTTTGCATTTCCCATCTCACTTTGAAATAGAGATGGTGGCCAACTCTCACGTTATGTATCCATTGCAAGGCTGATTCCTCACTGTTTTGAATTTGGGTCAGAGACTCGGGATATAAGGAAGAAGCATGTTTAATGCAAAGTTATGGCAAAAATGTAAACACTAAAATCATCCTGAACGCTTCAGCAGCGGACACAAGGCATCCTCACTGTGGGTCTATTTAGAACTCATACAAGTAACTTGGACAGTTTACCCTATAGAGTTCAAGTATTAGAAATGAGTTACCATGGTAACATTCACTTTCACTTAGTGCACCTAACCTTTTACTCATAGTACATGGTTTTCTTGAGAATCTTATTTATTTTTGTCTAATTAGAAAATAAAGGGTGGGGTGGTGGTGTCTGCTTACTTTCTGTGTAGGGGTATGTGTAAACACACACATCTGTGTATTTTTTTCCAGCAACTTCTACATACACATTGTATAAAAGTTCTACAGTTAACATAAATCAACTCCAGAAGAAAAATTCAATGTTCTGTTTTCCCTTGCCCATTGTCTGTGTGTGTATTTGTATGTCAGTCTGTCTTTTTGATTCTCTTATTCAATATTTATAAGGACCTCTAGGGAAGATGTCTTAAAACAACTGGGTGATTGCTGAGAGTAGGCAGAGTGAATTCCTGTGTCCATACAAGTGATGCAAGACCAGAAGAAAAAATAAAAGAGCCAGATTTTGGAAACCACATTCAGGTGAAAGGGCACGACCATCCTGGCCTGTACTCTGCCTAAAGGACAAGACTTTCATTTGATTAAGATCATTAGTCACTGAGATATATATTTTAGAGAGTTCCCGGTAGCGGCTCTTGAGTTGGCAGTCACTGGAGTGTACCAGATGGTTCATTAACATAGGCTAGACAAGTCAAAGGCTTTCAGAATCATTTAGAAAATGTCAAACAGAAACAAGAACCCTGTCACTTCTTATTAGAATTAACTACATCATACCCTGGACACAGGTTTCACCTTGGGTCAGAAAAATTCATACAGAATTCTATGAGTTGTGTAAGATACTGGGCTAAGATAGGTCTTTCTCTGGGGACTCATTTCCCGGTGATATATTATGATCCCTCTACTTGAGGAATCCTTTTGTAAGATATGGGAAGAGTTGACCTTGCTCAAAATCCATTGGTGGCTAATTGATTTGAGGTATATGCAGAATTACAAGAAGACATTCTTTTAAAGTCCTTTTGTGATCATTTTCCCAAGCAGCTTGGTGAGTGAATATTCAGCAGCAGGTACAGTACGCCTTATGTCCAGAGGAACAGCAATTCAAATGCCATTGAAATGTTGTGTTGTTTGTTTGTTTTTTCAAATGCAGATGTCAAAAATCTGGAGAATTTCCAGCTGGTGGAAGGCGTCCAGGAACAGGTCAACGCCGCCCTGCTGGACTACACCCTGTGCAACTACCCGCAGCAGACAGAGAAATTTGGACAGCTTCTTCTTCGACTCCCCGAGATCCGTGCCATCAGCATGCAGGCTGAAGAATACCTCTACTACAAACACCTGAATGGGGACGTGCCCTACAATAATCTTCTCATCGAAATGTTACATGCCAAAAGAGCGTAAGCCACAGCCCCTAGGAGCTCTGCTGGGAGAGCAGAGAGGAGATTGGGGGAGGGGAAAAGAACAGGAAGAGGAAAAAAAAAATACTCTGAACTGCTCCAAGCAACGCTAATTAAAAACTTGGTTTAAAGATATTGAATTTAAAAAGGCATAATAATCAAATGCTTACTAGCAAATAAATGATGTATCAGGGTATTTGTATTGCAAACTGTGAATCAAAGGCTTCCCATCCCCAAAGGATTCCTCTGAAAGACATTGGAGTGGAGCGAATGAACTCACACATGGATTCCAGCACTATGTCAGAACAAAAATGGACACAGAAGTTCTTGTATATTTAAACTGATCTCCGCTATGAAGACGTTTAGGAGCTGATCTGTGTTATTAATTAGGCTTATGCAGCGGGGGATCTGAGCATACGGAATGCCTCCGTGGTGAACTTGAACTACGGTATCAAGAATGCATCCGCTGGACCTGTGACTGCCCCTCCCTCTTCCTGGACAGGCCCAGCACCTCTGCCCTGTGGTCAGGGAATCCATACTGAGGCCCTGTGTAGCTCCACTCAGTCATGAATTCTGAATGTCTGTGTCTTAGACCTGCAAACAGCTAATAAGAACAGTCTATAGATAAGTCAGCTTGCCATTTCAATACGTTCTGGTTTGTTTTGTCACAAGTTCATAATTTTTTTTAAAAGCAGGCAGTATCTCTCTTCTATCTTATAAGCATTAAATAAATTAAGAGCTGCTCCATCTGAAAGCAAGATAGATAGATCTTATTTCTGCTATTGTTGCTGAAATGTGGCTATGACATTTTTGGATTTCATTAAGAACCTCTGGCCAAAAGGCTTCTTAGAATACATCTGTCTCTTCAGTCATCAAGGTTTGTAGTTCATTTAAAAACAGAACATGAACATCTTTTGCTAGGATGTCAAATAGTCAGAGTTCTAAGTATTTGAAAATAAAAATTGAAGCATGTTAAGCAATGCAAAATGAAAAGAAAGATGGACTGATAAATTGATGGACTGGAAGTTCTTTCTGGTTATTTAGGGTTCACCTGAACACCAGCGCAAACAGTGGTTTTTTTGTTTTGTTTTGTTTTGTTTTGTTTTTAACATACGACCCAGAAAGATACTAAAGTAATTTCAGTCTTCCCCAAAGGGGAAAGGAAGAGAGTAATACTGACCTTTCTAAATCATAGACCAAAGTCTGCTATAGAACAAATATTGGAGAACAAAAAAATAGCAAACAAACTCTCCAAACAATGCCGTCAGTATTAGTAACAAACAATGCCACAGGAATGAAATCTTGCCTTATTTCACCATTCTGAAAGGTAGCTGTGCAGATGTGGATGAACATTTGTCTAAAATAAAGTATTAATACTTTAAAGTCCAATAAAATATAGTGTTTACATTCTTTTAGTCCTGGGGGAAGGGGGGCAGGGGGAATTGTGACATTACAAAATAGCAAAAGCAGTAATTTCTTTAATGTTATTTTTCTGATTGGTAATTATTTTTAACTGTACTTAATTATTGTATGTCGTGAGACACTAAAATCAAAAATGGGAATCTCATTTAGGCTTTTAATTTTTTGAGATTATTGGCAGCACAATCACTTGTAGAAACTGTAAAAAATAAAGTATCTCCTAGTCCCTTAATTTTTTCACAAATGTTTCTGGCTTTTGAATAGTTTATTTATATTGTATATCATAGTTTCAACTGTAGACAATTATGACGCTAATTTATTGTTCCTTGGTTTCCGCCTTTGTATAAGATATAGCCAAGACTGAAGAAACCAAATATATGTGTTTACCGTAGCATGTCTTCAAGTTAGTGAACCATAGTTCAGGGATATAGAAGGGTCTTAATGAATTAAAATCACCCACTTGATTAAATGTCTGTAAATCTTCATAATTCTTACTGTAGTTTATTTAATACCTATTGTAAATTATGTGACTTGTAGCTTTCTCTGCAAATAAATTTAATAAGGTGGAGTCTTACCTGGTTTCCCATTAAAACATTGTAAGTTGTATACCAAAGATATTAGTTATCACTTCAGTGTGTACAGAGAGGATTATTTTATTAGTTTTATTAATGACCTCTACTTCTCATCCCCATGAAGGGTACACACTGGCTAAGCCGGGCATTGGTTGGTGTCTAGCCTCAGTCGCCTGTGTTCTCTTCATGACTCAAAGGACAATGGAAAATCATTGGTCAGAGCTCAGAGCTAAACTGTTCAGGAGAATGGCGGCATCCTTGCTCCCATTGGAGTTGGAGAAAGACATGTGGAGAGGAATGGTGGTGTCAGTGGGCAGTGGTTCCATCTCATTTGTGTAACATGGGTGGTGACAATTATGAGAGTAGAAGGATACTTATTTGGAGGGTCTTTATCATTGCAAAAAAAAAAAAAACAAAAAACACCGATTTCTTAAAAACCGTGTTTTATTTTAAATATATAGTACTCCCCACTGAATATTAAACCTCAAAATTGTCAATTATTAGTAAGTTCTTAACCTAGTGGATTATACCCTGAGGACAGTCAGAAATACAGGCAACATCCACACTGCTGATGACACCAAGGACAGTGCTGATAAGAAGCATGGACCTGAGCCAGTGTCTGTGGCCCATTTGAAGTTGGCCAGTTGACACTTCTCAGATACTAATTTTTAACCAGTTAGCCAACTGCCTTATCAATTATGGAATTTATTAGCAAAAGCAGACTCAAATAGAAAGGTTTTTGGCTTCCCTTGGTTCATAATAGTTGGTCTTGGTTTGTACACAGACAATCTGTAATGTCTGAACACTTGTAATACAGACTTAGACTTGAATCCATGCAGTGTTTAGAGTGTGAAGTCAGTTACTTGTTGACGTTTTCTTACTGTATCAGTGAAATACATATTGTCATGTCGGTTCTTGCCAGGAATTTCTCAACAAAATGGAATTTTTTTTTTCAGTATTTCAATAAATATTGATATGCCCAGCCTGGTGACTTTTTTTCAGTCTTTATGTTGTCCTTATTGTATTGGATACTGAAGCTTAAAAACCTTTAGATTGGATACTTAAAAACCTGACCAGGAGTGGAATCAAAAGAATTTCACAGGAATAAATGCTTTCCCTCTCTAGACACCTTCCAGAGTGGCCTGTTGTCCTTCCTTGGATAGCCGACCCTTAAACACAGTCTGTGCATCATGGTTTTATGTCATTTACTCTTCTATGACTGACTGGCACAAAAATCTTAATACTGTCTAACTTTTTTGCTGACCAAAGCCCTGATAACTTTTGTAAGAGCTTTAGCTGGTCAATCCTCGGGCATCTTCATCTTAAAGCCTGCACGACACAATACACTAGTCCAAGGACGAACAGAAGTTTTCCTTTTTGTTTTATTTGTGATGCTGAGGATGGAACCCAGGGCCTTTCAAGTGCTAAGTGACTTCTCTACCATGGTGCCACACCCTGGCCCAGAAGCAGGGCCATCAGCAGGCACACTTAAACACTATGCCATTTTGTCCCTAAGCTATGATGACACTTAGGATTTGCTTCAGAAGGCAAAGACACTATGAAAACTCTGGCATCAGGTTACTATGAAGTATACAAATATTTATCAAGAACTCAGACACAAAAGCCTTTATGCTCTAAGTTTAATCCTTAAAATAGATGTCTAAGAAGTCTCTAGAAGTTAGCACTCCTCAGTATCAGTAAACCTCTGGAGATGTTTAAAGAACAAAATCGCTGTGGAAGCCATTTTGGAAATAAATAAAATGTGTATTACAAAAATAATAGAGAAGCCACAAAGCACTGACGGTCGTTAGGAAACACAGTGGTCCCGCCCTCAAGACTGGCACCACACCAGCTAGACACCGCCTTCTCCTAGGATCCTACACACAGCGAGGAGTCAGACGAAACCCTGCACGGAGGGCTTGGAGAGTCATGGAACTGAAACTTTTGAGCAACTATGGTGGCCTATGAAATCCATGTCCCTTGTCAATCTCAAGGAGGAACTTTTCAAGTGATTCTTGCTAACATGCCATAAACTAGAAAAATACTCATATTTCATTGAACTGTAACATACAGAAAACTATACAGCTTAACAATTTTTTGCATATGTAGACACCCAGTAATCATTACCCAGGTCTAGCAGCATGAAGAACATAGCTTTTTTAAGTGATTATATACATTTTTAAAAAATTGGTGCAGAAAGTTTTTGCCAGCCTGACAGCTTGCAGAGGTCACTGAGACAAGAGCAAAGGGGCCTAACCCCCATCGCTTACAATAACACACACGAAGTTGCTAAATCCGTCATCAGGAGGCAGCCCCAAAGGAAAAGGAAAAAAAAAAAAAACAGCTCATGCTGATGGGCATTTGGTTGTTATATTCGGTATTCAAAATAACTCGGAGAACACTTGTACCTTTAACTAAGTTTGACATTCGGTTTGAAGCCATCTCTGATGTATATTTTTATGAGAACCATGTGGAGACTTTGTTCAACATAACAGAGGTCAAAATGCTACAATCCATAGTGATCTTGACATTTCCCTGAAATAATAAAGACCAATTTTCCTTAACGCGGTACAGGAAGTGTATAGTTTAGTCACTCAAAATAAATATGCTTGCAATACTTTAACTGTTTCACATAGGCATTTGTTTTATGTTAAGTTAGAAATTAATAATTCAGTGACTGGCGTCAGGCTATGTTTGCGGTATTATTGGTAGAAAAGCCTTGCATGTTTGTTGCTAGGAAAGAACAAAAGGAGTGTAATTAGACTAATTGCTGAGAGTCCTGAAGAGGGCTTAAACCCAAACTGTGAGGACAGGAGTAAGGGAAAGAGGTGTCAGCCCTCCAGCTCCAATCTTCAGCGAAACCAACATGGCTCAGACCCAAGGCTACCCCAGGAGGTCCTGTGGACTCCAGCTGGGCTCCCTGAGATTCCAGGTCAGGTCTGAGATTTTCCTTAAGACAACATAGTTGGGCATCTTACCTATCCTCACCCCTCCCTTGTGTGCTCTCGCTTTTATCATGTGCTCATAGTCCAATCCCCTTGTTGTGTTTGCCCTTGATCTAATGTCCGCATATGAGGGAGAACATACGATTTTTGGTCTTTTGGACCAGGCTAGCCTCACTCAGAATGATGTTCTCCAATTCCATCCATTTACCAGCGAATGATAACATTTCGTTCTTCTTCATGGCTGCATAAAATTCCATTGTGTATAGATACCACATTTTCTTAATCCATTCGTCAGTAGTGGGGCATCTTGGCTGTTGGCGAGGATGCGGGGAAAAAGGAACCCTCTTAGACTGCTGGTGGGAATGTAAACTAGTACAACCACTCTGGAAAAAAATTTGGAGGCTACTTAAAAAGCTAAACATAGATCTACCATATGATCCAGCACACAGGTTACTCCAGAGGCACTTGCACACCATGTTTATTGCAGCACTATTCACAATAGCCAAGTTATGGAAACAGCCAAGATGCCCCACCACCGATGAATGGATTAAGAAAATGTGGTACTTATACACAATGGAATTTTATGCAGCCATAAAGGATAGGTAAGACACCCAAAAAACTAGATAGCATTTGTTGCCCTCAATGCAGAGAAACTAATGCAGATACTTTAAAGTGACCGACGCCAATAGGAGAAGGGGACCAGGAACTAGAGAAAAGGTTAGATCAAGAAAAATTAACCTAGAAGGTAACACAAACGCACAGGAAATCAATGCGAGTCAACTCCCTGTATAGCTATCCTTATCTCAACCAGCAAAAACCCTTGCTCCTTCCTATTATTGCTTATACTCTCTCTACAACAAAATTAGAAATAAGGGCAAAATAGTTTCTGCCTGGAAGCAAGAGGGTAGGGGGGAGAGGGAGGAAGTGGGGGGGCTAAGGGAGGGGGTGGGGGAAGGGG